AACATGATGCCTTCCTAGCTACCATAGCAACAGTAAACACTTCAACCTTTGGAGATTGCAGGCAAAGACAAAAGTGCATGAAAATACAGCTTGTGACTTCCTGTTTGTTGACGACTGCACACTCAATGCCAGTACCCAGTCTGACATGCAGGGCAGTGTGGACCTATTCTCTAAAGGCTGCAAAGACTTCGGCCTCACATTTCTACTAAGAAGACTGAAGTCCTGCACCTGTGGTGTCTTACATTGAACCTCACATTACTGTCAACACCCAGAGACTAGCAGCTGCAGACATGTTCATCTACCTTGGTAGCATTCTGTCACACTCTGCCAACATTGATGAGGAAGTGGCCTACAGAATTGACAGAGCCTGCATGGCCTTCAGCAGATTGAAGGATAAAGTCTGGGAGCAATGAAGACTGAGCCTTAACACCAAGCTCAAAGTGTACAGAGCAGCGGTCTTACCATGTCTGCTCTATGCATGAGAGACGTGGACAGTCTAAAGGCAGCATGCTAAACAGCTCAATACTTTAGGACTCTACTCCATGTCAAGTGGCAGGAAAGAATCCCAGGCACTGAAGTGCTCCAGCATGCTGGGATGGAGAGCATCTGTGCCATCCTACTGTGCTATCAGCTTAGTGGGCTGGCCACATCCACCACATGGATAACTGTTGCACCCTAAAGAGATTGCTCTATAGCGAGCTATCCACAGGCAAGTGCTCACTTGGCAGGCCAAAAAAAATGTTACAAAGACACGTCGAAGGAGTCTCACAAGCATTGTGGCATTACCCATTCCACCTGAGAAGAGTCTGCTGTGGTCTGTGCTGTCTCGTGCTCCCTTGTAAGGTTTGGAGTGTCTGATTTTGAAGACAAAATAATCAAGGAGAAAGAACCGAGAACCTAGAAAAGAAAAGATCAAGAGGGTTCCGCCTCCCAGCCTGGTTCAGCCCCCAGCATCTCATGTCACATTTGCAACAGATTTTTCAAGGTGAAGATTGACCTCATTAATCTCCACCCACCCCACCAATGTCAAAATAAAATTTCCATAACATATGCAAGATATTTTGTAAATACATTTATCAAAGTGTTGAATTTTTAAATTTTCTTTTCTCTAATTTTTAGAACTACTTTTTCCTGAAATCTGCCACACTGATATTGATCATCTTTTACTTAGTTGTTTATTTTTAATTGCAGATATATAAAATTATTTCTGGTATAAAGCTTGATTTTTATACTTGTATTTGTCTATATTAAAAAAAAAAAAAAAAAAAGCTGCAGTAATTCTACACAGGATAATACTGAAAAGTTTTCAGCCCAAACACAAAAGAAATCCCAGAATAAATTCTGATATATTTGATCATATTTTGAGAAGTGAGTTGGGCCAAAAACTTTTCAGCTCCCCCTCATTGATTTATACAGTTATAAAGAGTTTTAAGAAATGGATTGACAGAAAAGCATTTTTGTTTTGTTACTTCTTTTTTCTGCTGCCTTTTCTGATGCTAGAATAAACAAAAGGTTTGCCCTGCTTGCAAAATCTATAAACGCTGGTTTTGACATGTCTAAGCTATTAGGCAGGTCAATAGAAAAACCTATAACACCCCGACATTCCACCCACTAACCTTCAAAAGCTTGCAAAACTGTCCAATAATCACCCCCATTGACTACATTTTTTGTTTTTTTAAATGTAACTTTAATCAAAAGTCATTTGAAGACTAATTGTATCTAGTCTGATAATCCACTTACAATATTCAGTTCAAATTAAATTGAATCTTACACTGAAAATAATTAAAATAAGATGAGGACTAATAGGAATTATTAAAATTAATGCAATTTAAATTTTGAATAAAAATCACAATAGATTTTTTTTTAAGTTTTGCAGAAACATAATGAGCAGTGTTTAATGGATTTGCATATTTAATCTTAGAATCTGTTTAAGAGGCCACAGGTGATTAAAGTATTGAAATAATAGAGAGAATTAAACTGACAGCTTAGTCATGAACAGATCTATATTCCATTTCCCTTCAGGACACTGGCATTCATGTCTCTCCACAACTTTCTGACCTTTTTAGTTCCTAATAAGATTTGTCTTTTCATCATTCACCATCCCTCCACGACTTGTTCTGCCATCCATTTGCACAAGCTCATGAAGTAGATTACTCACTGATTTCCTGTCTCTCTTGCCTTCAGTATCAGCCCTGTGAACAGGACTGATACAGGGGTCTGAAAAACATCTATAAACTGGGGCCTCCACTCAAATCTCAATCTTCATATAAAATATAAATTTTATTGTAACCTAATTATGTACAATAATGAATCATATGCAATATAGGTGAACAATTCAACTAGAAAAATTGAAAATAAATACAATGTATCTAAGTACAAATTAGAGATATGTCATAATAGATCACTCCATCTTAAATAAATCAATGTTTTGCAGCAATTTTTAACATCAGATTTTTGTTAAAAAGTTGAATTTAACCCATTCAACATTATGGATAAAAAAAAATAGTGAGTTTTATATGGTGTCCCCCATCCCAATACTTAGCATGAGCAAAACAAATTTACTGATTTAGAAAAAAAAAAAGGTGAGGTAGTATATGCAAGCCCTGCCTGTGAGTATCAAATTCTTCAAGCCCTTTCTTCATTATGTGCCCAAGAAATTTCAACTCTCCTGATTCTAAATGTCTGTTTTGCTTCCAGTTTCCTTAAAACTTCAAGTTACATGTGTGCAGTTATCAGTACAGTTTTGTAGAATCACATTCATCCATGACGAGGTTATTCAGTAATCACTGCCATATAGGAGGACCAATATTACATAAGAGTTCAGCGCCCTGTTCTTTGTTTCTAATTAAATTTTCCTGTTTATTAATACTTTGTTTAGGTTTTGGAAGACATTACTCGCTATTCCAATGTGCCTTTGGATTTCAATGTCACATTTTCAATCTTCTGTTAAAACATTTTTCAGATACTTAAAATTTTTGTACTTGCTTAATACTGTTATCTCCAATTCATAGTTTACATCTTGAAATCATACATTCTATCTTTTTGCAATTAAAAGACAGGATAGGTTAAATGGTGTTGTTTCCAATCATTGTAGAAATGGCTGCAAAGACATCCCCATCACCCAAATTTGTAGACAAAAAACACAGAGGCATGCTGGGATTTCTTCCTAACTGTTAAAGTAGGTAATTTCTCAGTCTCATCAGATGGAGTTCTTTCTTGTTGAAACCAGAATACTGCAATCACTTGTCCATATCCTGTTTTTGTGTGTTAACACCATTCTTAGTTTGTGAATTTTTTGCCTTATTACTGTTGCTTTGCCTTGCATATATTGTTTACTCAATATTAATTTTGAGCTGTCCTTTTCTTTCTCTTGTTATAGTTTATTGCAAACTTTGTTGTTAAATCTGCATGTTGGGCATTTCTTCAATTATATTTAACCATGGCCAATTACTCTACAAATCTAACAGGAAAAAATAAATAGCCAGGTTTCAGACCAGAGACATGGATGGTGTTTATTATCCCTTCTGTGTATACACATCCAAAAAATTCATCATTTTAATGATTTAACATACAATCAGTAAACACACACATATATATATATATATATATATATATATATATATATATATATATATATATATATATACACACACACACAGTAGCGGCCATAATATAAGGAATGGAAACAACAAAGACAAATATGTGTATTACTTAAAAAAGTAACGATGATTAGCAATGAAATTTTTACTGAATAACGATTAGGGTGTAATGCATAAATATACAAAGTTACAAAAATTTACATAATAGTTTTTTTTAAATAAAGATTAAATGGAACAAAGGAAATAAGCTACTGGACAAAAGTTAAGGAACGATGTTAATAATTTGCATAAAATTTACATTGTTAAACTCGATGGAGCTTTTCAACAATAACGACTTTATTTTTATGCAATATGGCAAATTCTACATGCAAAATGCTCTCTTTTGAAGAAAAAAAAAAAAAAATCATTATCACTATCAAGAAAAAAAAACGTCAATTTCAGAAATTTCTGATATTGTTCATAGGTCTAAAAGAGTTGTTCATCATGACATTAGCAGGTATAAAACCGCTAAAACGTTAGATGCAAAACCAACAACTGGCAGACCTCAAAAAACATCGCAAAGAGAAGCTCCAGTAGCTTATTTCCTTTGTTATATAAGTTCTCATAGGATACAATTTTGAATTAGAAAGTTCCCAAACTGTATAATTATACTGCTCAATGGGAATGCACATGCAGCAAATACTCATTGGTACCCAGCTCACTAAGTCTGCCAATTGGCTTTATGCTGTCAACATGTACATTCAGTTATTACACAGGTTCTTATAAAATTGTGTTGGAATGAAGCTGTGCTCTTTACAATGACAAATTCAAATTATGCATCTGCATCAGATTTTGTATGAATTACAAATCTGCCACAAAGACTTTCAAAATACATCATTAGATTTTTGGCAAACATTCTTTAGAGTAAACAGATTTTTGAGTATCCCAGGGCAAAGAGAGTGTCAGTTTAAGATGATAAGAGTTCAGGATGACCAATCATTAGCAAATAGCCAAGAAATATTGAACAAAAATTGAACTCCAAGTAGACCACTGCCAAACAATCCGTATTATTTACTAGTTATGATGTACTTCTAATTTTTATTTACCTGAGAACTTTACTTTTACCTTGTACTTAGCGTCAAATTTTCTTTGTCGTGGCAAAATAAAAATGGTGATATTGTAAAAAGTATAAACCTTTTAAAAATATGCTGTTTATGCATGTGTGAATCTGTCATAGTAATTTAATGCAAAGCTTCTGTAATAAAAAAAAAAATTTGTCTCCTCCTCCCTCAATTTGCCAGAATCATTTACTTTGAAAAGAAAATGTTTTTTTTTGTTTTGTTTTTTTTTTTTTAAATGAACTTACAGATAACAATTTTACTTATTGACCATGGATTCATAACTATTAAAATAATGACTTACCCATGTTGTATGCTCTCTTAAATAGCACCCTTTAAAATCAATTATATTTTTATGCCTTAAATCACGCAGGAATTTGACTTCTTTCACGATATCTTGCCATTTCTGAAACAAAAGAAAAACTCATTTGTAAGATATTGCAATTTATTCACATAATGAGAGAGAGAGAGAGAGAGAAAAGATTTAATTCCTTCAAAATTAATGTAAACATTACTTCAACACTAATAAATTGACAGTTTATTATCTAGTGTTTTAAATTTAACAAATTTATTATAAATTTTTCCATTCAAACCAGCATGTTTGTCTTGATGGTTATACTCACATTTCAGTCATTATGCCCTCTGGCATAATTGATAATCTGCCCCCATGAATTAAATGAATTGAATCCAGTTTAAAATTAAAATAAGTTTACCAAGAACAATGGCAGATACCTTAAGTTGGTCAGATGGTAAAATTGCTGAAACAAGATGAGCATTCTTGTCCAAATAGAAAAGCATATAATAATAATTCCTCATCTCAAAGTTTCAGCATAAATGGAAGTTTCTTTCATTATATCCTTTCTTGGAAGATATCAATTATTTCAGATTGAGTACAGGGAAGTTTTAGCCTTTGAATTTCACAATAATTGCTTCCCTACATTATTTTTTTTTATCAAAATCATCAACGCATAGAGTGGAAACTTTAAATATTTAGTATAAAATTATTTATTATCCCATCTTTGATGTTTTTAAAAGAGTACGGAGGAACTGCTAGCATTAATGAATAAAAATTCCAGAAACAAGTTTCTAGACATTTAAAATGATTTTCATGTCATAATTAAAATTTAAATGAAGACATTTCATTTTGAGAAGCATATATGCTCTAAAATATTGAACCCATAAAATTTTACACAAATATATAAATCAAAACTGGACACTTCAACATAGTGTAATGGTTAGCAAGCTTGTCTTGCTAGATCAATTACAACTGAACAGTGAGTTCAATCTTCACCAGGCATCCTATACTTTCAACGTTGTGCCACATCTAAGCTATACTTTGAAAATTCATCATTACTGGAATTTTCATTACTGCAAATAAGTAAAGAGAAACAAAAAAAACCAAAAAAAACACCAATAATAAGAAATAAATAATTAAATCAGAGTCCTAATCTATAGTAGAAGTCAGCATTTATTACTGGGAGTAAAAATTGTATCATACCATGCCAAAGTCTTAAGCAACTTCATACAACAGATGATTTCAACAGATGAATCATAGGCTCCATTGGAATCTATAAAATGTCAATTTTTGAAGGTTGTCTCACATCCCCACCTTCTCATTTACAACTCCTAACTGATACAAAATATGACAAGTAGGTATTGAAAGGATCCCAAGAAGGCCAATGTTTCATCTGTAGAAAATGAGGTGAAACATCCACTGACAAATTAGAAATTTACAATAGTTTTAAGTAGCTGAAGACCTTTTGCTCAGTATTGTACTTATTAATGATCATAAAATGGTGATCAGGAAGCCGAGATAAAAATCAAAAATAATAAGTTAAAAATTAACAAAATTATTCACAATTGGTTTTAATTTGTGAAGATTTAAAATTTTCCGATTTATTAACATTCTGATGAATCTTAATTCTTCAGTTGAGTAAGCTCATGCCGAGTTGTACACCAATATAATATATAATTAAATATTTGTGCTTAACAAAATATTGCAATAACAATCAAATATAAATGCTGGTCATCATTTTAAGAAGAGGGTACAAATGAAAAGATTTGAAATTGACAACTTTTTCCATTTTACTGAAACAGATGTTAAGCACTTCTGTCTTCCCTTTTATCTTTGATTCATTCATTTTCTCACCAAAACTAAGTAGTCTTTTCCTTTCTTTCCATGTGATCAGACTGGAATAGTCCATTATTTATGAGGTAGTGACAGAGTGTAACATTCATGCAAACTAATGAAGGGAAGGACAAGCACAATTGTCATAGGATTTTTTTTTTTTTAGTCAAAGTTTTCAGGAGTTACTGTTTTAAACAGAGCTTATTAAAAAAAATAAATAAAAGTCCGCTTCGCTATTGCAGTAAGAATGGACCCTAAAAACTTCAAACTTGTCAATGATTTAGCATCAACTCAAGGATAAGCCTTTAAAAAAAAAAAAAAAAAAAATGAGAAGCAGTGGAGGAGGAAAAGTTACAGCAATATCTACAATAAATGGTCACCAAACTGTGTACACAAGGAGGTTTGTTTATTCTAATCATAAGCAACTATATTATAGTTAATAAATTCTTTCTTGGTAATTTCAAAAAAAAAAAAAAAAAAAAAAAAAGGAATCCCTGAGAAAAGACAAATAATTACTAACAATAAGACTAACAGCTGCCTGCATTTTATGATTTGATTTCTAAATTTGAAACATACTGATCATGTAGTGCAAGTTAGAAAAGAGGCCCAAAACATTCAAACATTACTCCTGTGTCTGTCTCTCTGTTACAAAGATTTTATTTTTGTTTGATTTGTTTTAAGGTTTATCAACACTTTGTGAGTTATTTAAAGCAGAAATCTATTTCAGATTGCTTACAGCAGTCCCCGTGTTCCAAAGTGGAACCTCATCAGAGTACTGACTGGGCTAATGCTGCTTAACTTTGGTGATTGAAAGAGAACCGGTGTTTTCAGTGTGATTTGATTGTAGGCGTAATTACCAAGAACTATACTATTAGATTCATTTACAACAGCAAATACCGTTTTCTTTTACTTCAGTCTTGGGGGATGGAAAAAAGCATATGTTTAAAAAGTATATTTAAGTAATTATTGCAGTAGAATTAGTTTCAAAGATATTTATACCAACACACTGATGGAGTCCTCTATTTTTTTTTTTTTTTTTGTAAAAATAAAATTGACAGCTAAAAAGAAAATGCTCTAAAGTATAGTGAATTCACATCCGTTCCACTTTAGCAAACTCTGTCAAGATGTTGAAACCAGTTCAATAAGAGGAAATCAATTTTTGGATTTTTCTATAATCAAGGAGTCAGTAGTTACATTCAGCAACAATTTTTCAGGTGTAAGCAGCTCTAATGGATTGTCATCAAATGATATTACATAAGAGCTGACATTCCAAAAGGTAAAAGAATCCAGATTACTAAACCACACACAAAAATGCAGTAAATTTTATAATAGTTAAAATAAACAGAAAAACTTTAACATAACTTCTCTAATCAAATAATGCGTCAAATGTTTTTTCCCCTCCTACCTTAAATGGAAAACTTAAGTAAATTAATTTTTTCTTCATATGTATTTTGAATATAACTACTAAATGATGCTGTGTAAAAAGTGGCATGTTGTAGATCAGATCAAAAAAGAAAATGTCAGCTACAAACTTGAGGAAAATGAGAATACTCCAGGTTTCAGGAATTCTTATATCTGTCTATATTTCTTAGATGAAGTATTGTAACTATTTACATTAATTACATTGTTGTCCCCATCTTTATTGTAATATTCACAATGTTTCACCCATTATATGTTCCAGCCTCGTTCAGGTGATATACACTGAAATTTCAAACCGAACCCTTTGTCTGCAGAGGTATATTCTAGTTCCATGCCTTTTCTGAATATCTCCATTTCAGTTAATTCCTTTTAGTAACTCAACTCTCATGGACTAAAAGGGATTGGTTCAAAATTCCAATGTATATCACTTGAGGAAGGTTGCAGCATACAATGGCCAAAACATTGTGAATATAACAATAAAGATGAGGACAACATTCCAAAATGTAAATACTGTAAATTTTTATAATACTTTATCAAAATGTTATTTTGCTATTCCTGTAAAACTGTCAGTTACTAGAGGTTGCCATTTTATTTTGATTATAATTCAACTTCAATGTTCATCTAAATTTAGAAGCAGGTAAAAAACATCCAATCAATGAAGGACATTTTTCTTCAAATAGCAAGATAATTGTTGAAAACGATGAGAACAATTGCCAAGCACTGATGAGGAACGAACAATTTAAGTTCCTGCTTCACACACAAACATACAGTTAACTTTAACCTATTAAAGACATTAGATAACAAAGGAATAATCACAAAAGCAAACAACTAGAGATGAGTGGCACATCTTCATAAATACCTGATCACATCCAAACAATAGAGAGGAAAGATTTCTCAAAATGGCTTGAAGTCAAGTGAAACTTATTAGTTGTAAGAGAAAATCTCACTCCCACAAACAACTGATAAATAATAGACACTGTACGAAACAAAACAATTAAAATGCATATTATATGTATATGACACAGTCTTTGACAGATGAGAACAGACAATTAAATTTAAGAGATGTCAGATGAATAAATTTTAAAATAAAGTCTTTTACATTTAATACTTTATTCTTTTGAACATTTCTAGTTTGATTTAAATTAATACAACAAAATCATAGTATAAAGACATCATATGAGATGTGTAATTAATGATTAGAGAAATCTATTGCTTTAAATGTGCATATTATAACATTCTGCTTTAGTCATCATCATCAGTCTCTGACTGATTCAATCTAAGGCCAGAAAAAAAAAAAAAAAAAAAAACAGATAACCTCCTCCTTCCTTTTAGTTGTAGCTCTCAGGAGTTCCAGCATTGCCATGTCCATCCACGCTTTGATTTTGTCTGATCAGCTTTTGTGTTGACATCCGCATATGTATCCATCTTCAATATTCTTCTGCATCATAGAGGTTGTTATGCTGTGTGACATGGTTAAACCATGATATCTTCCGACATTTAATAGTGGCGAGAAGAGATTTCTGTTGGCCTATGAGACTTCTGGCCTTGCTCCATACAGTCACTGGTTTGCTACTCTCAGTAGGAGATGCAGAGGCATTTTCTGAATCATTTGTTCTCAAATGCCTGCATCCTTTTTGCTGCCTCAACCAGGAATATCCAAAGTCTCACACTCATAGAGATGGATGGATATGACCAATGATTTGTAGAGGTTGAACTTGGAACCTGATATTGCTCTTCCATATCCTTTCCAGTCTGATCATCGCTGCTGTAACTGTGGAAATCTGTGTGTGGGTTTATGCATTGCAGGTACCATCTTATGACAGAGTTACTCACAAATATTTAAAGCTGGACACTTCTTCCATTGGTTCACCAACCATGGTGATGCTGTCACTAGTTCTGCTTGTGCTATTCACCATTACTTTGGATTTCTCTGTGTTGAGTTCCATTCTATAAGTGGTGATTCTTTCAACAAGTTTGTTGGTTAAATCTTGCAGCTCACTATTATGATCTGCCATCACCTCAACATCATCTATGAAACAAAGGTTGCAGACAGACCTACCGCCAATAGAGACGGAAGTGTTGCAATTGTAAAGGTTTTCCAGGTGCATACAAGGAACAGTCGGGGAAGGGGGGGTGAATCAGGTGATCAATAACAGCAGACTTAGACTCCTCAAGTTTGCCAGAAGCCACTGCTTCACCTTGGCCAACACTCTACACCCCCAAACTGTCTCAAACTCAACTTGGCATTCATCTAACAGGTAAGTCTACAACCAGATTGATCTCATTCTGGTTCCCACAATGCTTCAAGTCCAGCATCAACAAAGACATTCCCTGGTGCAGACATCAGCAGTGATCATGACCTTGTGATGATAACCATCAAGCTGAAAACTAAACAGTGCCCTAAGAGCCCCTGCATCCTCTTTGACCATGAGAAGCTGAAGGTTCCTAAAATCACAGAAGTTTTTCAAGCCAAAGTCTGCAATAAGTTTGCAGCCATCAACCTGCTTGACAGTGAGATAGACACTTGCATTAAACAATAAATGAGCTCCTATTCAAAACAGCTGAAGATGTTCTCAGAAACCACAGATGAAAATTCAGTTGTGGATCATGAAAGACCTCCTGAATTTGTCTGACAAGAGGTCTGACAAGTTATGAGCAGCCAAAGAGAAGTAGATAGAGGGGCAGTGCAGCAGAAGGGAATAAAATCATGTGACAGCAAGAAGGCCTACAATATTCTCAAATCCCTCAAAAAGACCAGCCAGCCAAGAGAAGCTGTCATAGATGATAAGCTACTGATGGAGTGGAAGTTCTGAACTGGTGGATCAAATACTGCAGCGGTCTGTACAATTATGAGCTCCATTCAGTTATCTCTTTATTGCAAGCCCACCAGCACTCTACAGAAGGTGAAGATAATCCACCAATACTGAAGGAGGAGGTAGAAGCAGTAAAGAACTTGAAACCTGGCAAGTCACCTGGGATTGACAATGTACCCTGTGAACTGGTGAAAAATGGAGGTGAAGAAATTGTCAAGGCCTTAACAGCTCTATGCCAGTGGATTTGGGAACAAAAGTGGCCAAAAGAGTGGACCCAGTCACTACCAAAGAAGGATAATCTCAAGCAATGCCAGAATTATAAAACAATAAGTCTGATCATCATCTGTATTATCAATCTTCTAAAATCCAAGGCTGAAGAACTACTGTCAGAAGAGAAGACTGGTTTTAGAGCTGAGTGGAGCACAGTGGAACAAATCTTCAACTGTAGGGTTCTCATCAAGAAATATTTACAAAACCAGAGGGGCCTGTTCCACAATTTCATTGATTTAAAAAAAAAAAAAAAAAAAAAAAAAAAGAAAGAAAAAAAAAAAAAAAAAAAAAAAAAAAAAAAGAAAAAAAAGCATTTGATCAAGATTTGATGAGATGATGACTTCTTGCATGTCCTCAGAGGGATTCAACACAGAAGGGCTCATTACAAGTCATTCATACATAGAAACAGTCATTTTTTAGTGACAAACAGAGCTACATTGGATGAACCTAATAACTGGACTAAAGTTTGAATACTCCCTGGAAATAGTCAACCAACAACATATAACAGCATGGAAGAGTAATGTCTTGGGTTAATGTTGTGGTCTGTAAAATTATAGGCTTCTTTAAAGTTGATTACAGCATCAAGATAAATGAAGAAAATTATTCTAGGTTCTTTAACATTACTAAAATATATTTCAATAGCCTACATCTTTTGGATTTATTAATAAATAAAAATGTATATTGGACTTTTTATGTCTGGTCACTCTACAAATGCTACTGGTACCATGTAACCCAGTACTACCTACTACATGGTCAGGTTATCAGAAACTAAACCAGTTCCTCCACCAAGTTTTTTCTTTAATCCAGCTGGATTAAAGACAAGACCTGTTCAAGAACAGATGAACCTTCTTGTAGGCTCAATGGCCAGCTAGCACAATGGAGTAGATTAAGATCCACTGCTATGTATGCAACTCAGTTTAGGAGGTAGAAAATTCTTATTAGGCCAAGATGTGTGGAGATCGAGATTATTATAGTGGCAATTCCCCCCAAGACTAAATATCATTACTGGAAACTAATTATAAGTCAGAGTAGTGTGCAGAGAGAAAAATGAAAACAAGGTACACATTTCAGTTCAATGCTGTTTGTCACTGTTAGCCTATCGTCTGGTTCACACTCCGCCCTGGCATTTTGAACAGGTGTAGCAGTTTATCCCTTGTTTCCTGTTCAGGATTGGGTTTCCGCTTCCCTCTAAAATGTTTTCCTTCTTTCACTTCTGGGAGCACCTTGCATTTTGGTGGCATTATCACCTTGCTTGCAGTGGTGCCTCTTACTCTGTAACTATCTACCTGGAGTGGCTCTTGAGCCTTATATAGAGTGAACATTACTGTAAAAGCATGGGGGGTGTCTTAATTCATCACCTCCGACACCAAATTCCGTAGGCAACTCGTGTAGTGGTCCTGAGGGAGTGTGGTGTCTGACCTAGAGAGGGATGGGATCCTCCAGGTTCACTTGCTCAAAACATAATATGTATGAATACTTTTCTGGATTTTTAATCCAGATAGGTGAGGAACTGGTTACAGCAACTCACCCTATAGCCACACTCAGTCATAGGACTGATGATGATGTGTTGCACTTTGTATAATAACAACAGAACTTGACACCACTAAAACAAATTATCAATATTTATTATAATAAGGATAAATAGAATAAGGTGAAAATCACATGATTTAATTCTCATGTGAACATAAAAATATCCTGAAAATTTCATCATATTGGGTGGAGAGTGACTTTTTTTTTGTAGGGGGAAAATAGCCTAGTGAATTTATGAATTTGCTGACACAGTAATTGCGAGTTCAATCCCTAGGCTGGGCAGTGTGTACTTTGGCTTATTGGAAACATGGCAAGTAATAACCAAATAGTACTAAAAATAATAACAAAATATCCCTAGACATGGGCAGTGAAACGAGAAGAGTCTACCCCTGTATATTAAATAAAGTGTTCAGTTCTCTGTAGGGTACCTAGATCGACATACACCTGATGAAGGCCAGAGGAAACAACAGCTGAAACGTGATAACAAAAATGAGGACAATAGTTCACATGTAAATAGCGTAAATAAACAGACTTGCAGAATAAAACTAACATTCTTTCTGGAAGAAGGTTTTTTTTTTTTTTTTGTTGGTTTCTCTTACATGCTGCAAATATAAAAATATCAGAGTTCACATTGTTTAATTTCTTTCTTCCCTCTTCCTCAATGCAGCAATTTCAAATGGCATTTATCATATGGTTCACAGGTATTTGTTATTGTCCATTTACCAATACAAATCAAATCTATTTCCTTCTTCAATATAGCTGGTAAGAACTCTTCAGATAGTGGCATAACGTCAATGTAGCCTTGTTTGAAATAGCTTTGATCAGATGATGTGCTTCAGTTATGTGAAGATGTAAAGCAGGACACACAGATAATATTGTGGGCATGAAACTAAATGGGAAAGCCAGATAATGTCGCACAAGTGAGGGTGGGAGTAAAATGAAAGCACCTCAATTTAAGATCTTATACAGTAAAATAGTTTGTAAACGTGGGATGTTGCTTAACAGCATGTGTGATAAGATAAAACAGAAAGCTTTAAGAAATTCTTATAAAACGAAAGAGTGAAACATTTGAGGATGTTGTTTCAGTTCATTTCAACATATTACTGACCCATTAACATCCATACTACCAGTCATTTATAAGGGAACACTTTTCCAAGATTGACAAATTATGCAAACCACTTTTGATACTCTCCTTCACAATCTATCATATAAAATAACAAATAAATTTCAAGCATTCCCATTGGTTTTGATGAAAATTTCAGGATGCCACAAGACAACACTTACTGTGAAAATAAAAATACAGCTTGAATCTACTTGGATATAAAATAGATACTCACCTCTGCAGAACCCTTGCCACTGAAGGACATTTTCTTAATGGCAACAATCTCCTTTGTGAGCTGATTTTTGGCCTATAAAAAAAAAAAAAAAAAAAAAAAAAAAAAAGAAAGAAAATTCTGTAAGTAATCAAAAAAACAAAACAAACAAAACATTTTATATACAATTTACAAAGGATCAAAAGTTGATCTTTGATCATTTAAATGCAATACAAATTGTTATCTTCTGCCTTCTAAATTCCTGTTTTTTATTGTTCTTTTCCCTTGTTGATTTCAATCTTACTGAAGAAATGACTGCAAAACACTTTCCCCTCCCCTTCTATAGTCAGAAGCACATCAATGCATGCTGGAATTTTTTCCTAGCCAATAAAATATGCCGATTTGCAGTTCCTTCTGACTCCGTCCTGATCTGTCTTGTCTTGAAGTTTGAACACTACATTTGTTTGTCTGAACTATGTGTCAACGCCAATTCTTAGTTTGTGAACATTTTGCCATATTACTGTTGATTTATCTAGCATATATTAACTTGCTTTATATTATTTTTGCCCTGTTCCTTTCTTTTCTCTTGTTATTGCCTATTGCAAACTGACATTTCTGTTGTTTCGCATTTGATCATGGCTACTCACTCCACATTCTCATTCTTTCACACTCAGTAACCCCTTGCATCTTAGTGGCTTTATTACCTTGCTTGTGGTAAAATGATTAAAATGCACATGCAAAAAAAAATAAATAAATAAAAAATAAAAATAAATAAAATAAAATTTTTAAAAAAGCAAGCAAGCATAACAGCCATTTATTTTATTTTTCCATAGCAATATTTATACCTTATTAAACACTTATCTTTTATATCAATAGCTGTTGTACACATGTAATATTTGGTTATGGTCAATGGATGACCTATGACTGTTTGCATCAGAATAAATAACATACTCTACATTTAGTACTATATCAGTGATTGTCATTCACATGATAAAAAGGAAAGATTCTAAAACAACCAACCATCAGTCAACTAATACCAATATAAGTAAGTATTTATATTTCAGTTGAGAACACATTTAAGATCTACAGGTTGTCAGTCAGGTTTAATGACTATATATATATATATATATATATATATATATAAAAGGTAGCCTTAACTTGTTATATTTTATTATTGTTAAAGATTCCAGAATCACTGAATGAACAACTTGGCTTGTGCTATTAAAAAATTTTTAATATATAATCTGCTCCACTCTATTCCCGTTACCAGTCTTTTTGTATGCACAAGAAAATCTAATATTTTTCCAATATTTTGAAGAGAATCTCAAATAAAACTAATGAATAGCATTTGCTTTAAAATCTAAACGTATTTTTATCATTTCACTAACAGCTGTTTTAACATTTTCCACTGTAGGAAAGGAAAAAAAAAAAGCTATATAAAAATAAATCTCCAATATTTAGAAAGGACATTATAAATTGTCTTGGCCTAAAGGATAATTTGGTTCAGATCAAAATTCTTAAAGATCCAAGTTTATAGTTCAATGGTTAGCACATTAAATAAGGTCCCAAAGTCCAGAATTCAATCTACAACAGCAGATGCTAGAGACTAATTAACCAGATTTCACCTTTGTGAAAGCAAAACAAAATCTGAACTACAAAATATTTTAAAATAAAAATAACTAAAAACACAAACAAGTTACTGTTTACTAATTTAGTAATATATTAGGTTACCCTTTAGTTATTAAATAGCATTAACTTTCTAAACCTGAATTATAATCAAAGAGACAAGTCTTGTATTCTAAAAAGGACCTAATTTTAATAAAAATTTTGTATTATGTGCAATAAAGTGAACAAAAAATCAGATTAAATGAAATTAAAAATAATAGCAATAGGGATAAGAACAGACAGACATATAACCCTTGTTAAGGTGACAATAGGAGTAATATTTGTCCATTTTTACTCAATTGACCCCAAGCAAGGCAATAATGTCATTAAAATGCAAAACTGAAAAAGACTTTAGAAGGGACCAGTAAACCAATCCTAAAGTGATAAATCTCTACTCCTGCTGAAAAGGAACAGGAAGGAGTATGAACTGGATGATAGGCAAACCTATCTACTCCCCAACAGTAAGTGTAGAAGCATGCTTCAAAACTCAATCACACAATATCAACCATAATGGCATGTTATGAAAATGGCATTTCTGACAATGTTACAGAATGCAATAATGTGGAATTTCTTGTGTGCGTTTTAAGTTTTTTTACATTAACATAAGAGAGGCACATAAACAGATCAACTTATACAAAATAAACATTGGTCAAGTATGTAAAAACCTATGTTTAGGAATAGCTAAATAAGTTGCTTTTGTTGTGTTTATTTTATATTCATAGCATGCAACAAAATTCAAGTTTAGAGGCAATTTTATTTTTTAATTTCAAAATCATCATAAAGAGAACCTCATATATTCAGGAACAGAGAATACAATTTTTGATAATTCTTAAATTGCAGAATTATCAGAAAATAACATAATAGTTCTTGGATGACAAATGTATACTCTTCACCTCTTGCTCAAAACACAAAGTAACATCTTTTGACCTTGCAAAGGCAGGGAGGCCATAAGTGATGTTATATATATATATATATATATATATATATATATATTACACACACACAAATAATAACTAAAAAGTTTGTGTGTGCATATAACATTACAAATTGTTAAATGGCAATTACTGCACTTTGACCAAAATAACAATTTTGAAATCAACAGAGTCTGTAACCCCGACAAAATAACTGCCAACAGTATCAGACTCCCCAAAGAGTTAGCTCTCTTTTCCAACTTCAATGACTTTTCCTTACTAAATGTCCAAACCAGACAATTTATCAGCATCAAATTTTTAGGAACTGTTGGTGATGCCTTAATTTCTTCTGATTAGCATCATTAAAACATTAATAAAAAAAAAAAAAAAAAAAAAAAAACACTTTTCTCTTTAGATGAAATTGTGACCTGAAAATCTGAATCTCACAAGTCTCCTCATTTCAAATATAGAAATTATGATACTAGCTTCATACAATGAACACAAAACAATGACAGAAAAATAAGTTTCTTGGCGTGTAATATATTTATCTTGGTAAGTAAGAGGTAGCAATATTGGCATATCTAAATATATGCTTTGGCGCAAGGCCTCAGTCAGATGTCAATCAAGAATTAGATGCAATTAGTTCTTGTGCATCATTGAAGCAAGTGATCAAATCAAATACACAATTAGATATATTTTTTCAACCAGCATTTAATTTATCCCCAAATTAAAAAAGTTTTTATTTTCTAAATATTAAGTACAGTTATATATGCATTGGTGGTATGATCAAGAAGATGAAGTTATATACTAAATTCTCCATGATCACCTCACATAACGCAAAACAGTCAATACTAGGTGACATGCTACTAACAGTAGAGAATAGTTTAACATTACTGCATAAAAGGATTAATTTATGCATACACTTTAAATTTCTTTGAGGATTACAAATAAAACAAAAATACATAGTTATTTTTAAGTGTATAAATATGTTGAAATAGTAAAAAAAAAAAAATAGAGTAATTGTGAATCCATTGAACTAGCACTTCAGACAATCCAACTAGTTAAATACAACCCCCCACCTCAAAAGGTCAATAGTTACTTAAACAGGTAGAGAGAGAGAAACTACAAACAGATTATATATATATATATATATATATATATATATATATATATATAAGGTGGTACTGAATTCTTGACTCAAATCAATTCCCAAAATGCGATCAGTATTTTAGCACTGTAATTGAGAACAATTTTTTTTTTAAATGTAAATTACCAATTTACAGGATCTGGATTCAATTTACAGAATTGTTGACAAAACTATTTCAACAGAGAGTATGAAATTTATGAAGTGTTAAACTCCAAACTGTCAAGAATTTTGTGTTTCTTCAGAAGAAACTCCAAAGGAAATAGATGAGGACAAAATTTAAACATTGAGAGGCATGTACCTGTTATATTCATTTTTGAAGAAGCGATGTAAAAGTAGAGATTTTGAGACCAAAATGTAGCACAATCTCGTAGGCTTTCAACAGTCTCAACTCCTGAAAATGTTGATCATGGAGATGACCTAGTTTTGATCAAATGATAAATCTTGTACAAAAGAATTGTTAAAACTAAGACACTAGAGATATATGTATTTGGCTTATTTATGAGCAGTTGAATATGCAAAAGCTGTCAGCCAAGTGAGTGCCAAAATGTTTGAACGCAACCAGAAATTATATCGAATGGATACCTCCATGTTGATTTTACTGCATTTTCTGTGACAGAAGGAGTTGTCACTATTTTATAAAACATGTTTATACCACTATATCTGAAGATCAAACATCAGTCCATACAGTGGCAGCACTAAAGTTTTCCATGGCCAAAGAAATCCAAGACCGAAAAATCAACAAGAAAAATCAAAGCAACTGATTTGGGGGATAAAGAAGATATTTTGAAGACTGACTATTTTCAGAAGGGCCAAACTGTTTATACAAAATATAATTCTAACATGATGTGCCAATTAAAAGGTAATATTAAAAGAAAAACAGTGAAGAAAGATATAGGGAGATGTTGTGTTTTTACATGACAATGCATCTGCTCAAAAAGCTGGCAAGAATATGTGTGGAAGAATTTGGGATTTTATTGCGCACACTATCCACCCTACAAGATCTTGCTCCATCTGGCTATTTCCTGTTTTCAAGCGATAAACAGATTTTGAAAGAGGGGAAATTTTTTGAATGATTCAGAGCTAATAACAGCAGAGCAGTATTTCAATGACCAAACATCAGAAGTTTTTTTTTTGAAAAGGTTAAAGAAATTTGAGAAATCATGTGCCAAGTGTGTTGAACTGTGAGGTGAATATGTGTAATAGCATATACGTTTCATGCATCTATGATATTCTTCTAGGTCAGGCCAATACCTTTCCAACACCCTCGATATACTGTCATGCATGAAACGTATCACTATTTTTTTTTTTTAGCCTTTCTTGTCTATGAAATGAATGCTTAATTCATCAGTGTCTTATGGGACAAATGAAGTATG